AAAGACGTGACGGAATGCCCTACTTGCAGACACACACGATGCAAGAAATGTCCTCGAGAACCGTATGCGAAACCAGTTTAAGAATGTTTCTTGACAAGTTGCTGATGATTTCTAGGTCCAAACCGCATAAATATCCAGATGGCTATCCTGGAGACGCAGAACCTTGGACAGAACCGCCGGCACGGACCTGGAAGAAACCACGACAGAGGGTGCGCTACACGTGTCACAAGTGTTCTACGCTGTATGGATCTCGGGAGACGACCTGTTCGAATTGTGGCCAGGAGAAGGGACCGGAGACTATACGAGACCCGTATGTTATAAATGTCTGAGCTATTGAAAGAGACTCAAAAAGACTGACACAATCGATCAGGCCGAAAAAGCATAAACCGGAACCGGACCCGGAGATCTTGAGGCGCGTTGAGGAAAGACTGGCCAACATGAGCGCTACCGAGTAACGGCAGTGTTTTTGCATAGTTCGATTATCTAGGTATCAGCGTCCGGCGATATGGACTTTCATGCATTTCTTTTTACCACATCACGAGATCTTATCCAACAAACCAGGGTACTTAGGGAATATCTCCCTCACAGTAGCTTCTTGTTGAATTCCATCTGAATTTGTCACCATTCTCTTGCGTTACCACCTTCAACTTCACTCACTAGATATCGAAGTATAGTGGATGAGCATGTTTAGGCTAACCCATCCTAGAGACGATCCTAACAACGATGGATCCTCTAATAATAAAAAGACAGAATATAACCAACAGGCACCATTCGTCATCCATCTGATAGAGTTTCAGGGTTGGTGGCTATCCGCTGTCACTGCCAGGGAGAGCCTCGGGCCTTCCCGTCCTATTGACTCCTCATCGGGCTTTGAACTCAAAACACGCCTGTCAATGGACTCGGAGATTCCGATATCATTATTAAGACTTCCAGAGGCCCACCTTAGTCCGTAGCTGGCAGGTGGAATAACGGTCAGACAAGTGGGTTCTATGATACTTTTTTAGAAAATAAGTCATATTTTGGGGGCACAGTTGTCTTGATAATACACTACAGACTTGGTATGCAGGATGGTTACGGCGTATCCTGCAATCATCGTCTGAATATTCCCGCATCCAACCTGGACTATCTCTGTCACCTACTGCATTGGCATATTTGCCCTCCATTTAGCATACGAAGGCACAATAACGGGGTTGACACGAGTAATGTCCCAAACCCAAACCAGAAAATGCAGCACACCGGCCATGTCATGCAATCCCAGACACTGGCCGGATCTCGCCGTGTCTATTGGTTGTGGCTTGAAGACGAGAGCCCACTACCTTGATCTCGGCGTATGACGGTGATACCAGTACATAGTGATTCAGGCCGTGGCTGTCACCGTCCCAGCCTCCTTGAGTTAGTTCCTCCGTCCATTGGGTGGATTAGGGTGACGCATTGACGGATTCCGGGAATCTGTCGGAGCCGGAGAATAATTACCTATTATTGGGTTTTGTATTTCTTTGCAGTATTGTCCACGGTATTGGTATTGATATACGGATATGGTATTACGAATGGTACATTATCAGGTCTTGGGTATGTAGGTCGTACCTAGTACCTAGGGTCTGGACCATCAAGTTCATTTTAGGATTGTATATTGTAACCTGGACTGCACTTTTTCCAACCAATTGACCTGCCATAGGACTGATATGTTCCTAGTCAGTAGTCTTGTCTATCATGAAAATCCTGCTGTCCATGAGTCAATCCTTGCCATAAGAGTCGACTCAGTCTCGACGCTAAGGGCGTGATTGACGTGCCAAGAAACTAATTGAAGTATGGAATGCGAAGGAGACAGCCACTTTGATCCTCATTTTTGGGCATTTTTAGCTTTCGAGCTCTCAAGTAGGGACATTGGAGGACCCAGGAACCGAGGTTGCGATTGTAAGGTAGCACAATCGGTTTCTTTTTGAATGATCTACTGAATGCCAACTGCGGCAGTGGTACGGAGTACTAGTTACTGTCAAGTCCCTTCTGTTATCCATCACCACGCCGGCATTTGCCCATGTGGTTATGCAAGCTCCCTCGATCTGCTGAATCAGATGAGCATAATCCTCGCGACTTCGAGTCAGACTATTCTGATACATCAATTTCATGTGTTCAATGCCTCACATTTCTGAGATAAGCTTCATGACCGTTGGAACTAGTCGGGCTAAAGTTTAGAGGATGTGATAGTTCACATTGGACGGATTAGATCCGTAGATCCAGATTCCAGGGAAACGGCGACAAAGCCAGCTGTCAAGCGTCCAAGCTCAGGCCACCGGCCAAATATCTGAATCTTTTTATATCCGCTTATTCTCTGAGTACACTCTCCCTTATCCCTCGGCTTCTACAAGGCCCATGCTCGCTCGGTGTTAACGTCCTAGTCTAGATGTCTTTTACAGGAGCTAGTAGACTTATTTCTGGTCCATTGAGTACCTGCTCGGCTGAAGATGTGCCTTCAATTTGTGAGTTGCTGTTACTTTTTGAGGACCATACAGTATGTCCATTATCTTCGGAAGCGTGCTTTAAGTGAATAATGTGGTATCATAATACAATTAAACTCAGAGGCTCAGACCAGATGATCCCGTCTGATCAACGGGTGCCATAACTCGTTAATGGTACCAATTTGCATCTAGACTCAATGACCACCTCTGCCATCCTGAAATCACACTCTAATTGCTTGCAAAAAGAGACGTTGAATAACTACTCCGCCATAATATCGCAGTATTAGTGTTGTCAGCCTGGAATCATACATTGGCCTTCGGGTCTACAATCCTGACTGCGGTGGATAGTTTACATAGTATCCCGGTATGAACATTGTTGACATGGCCAAGCTTGACTTAAGATGTTTGCCATCCTCTTCCACTGCTAGTAAATGAGCCCGATATATGACAGAATGGATTGGGACTTGTTTCAAAGTACCGAGTACATAGATTACAATTTTTTGACTTTACTTGTACCGTGGATGTATTTGCACTTTACCCACTCTGGCGGCTCGGACCGCCTGCCCCGCTCAGAAGTTCTTCTTACCAGATAATACAACAAGGCAGTGTCACAAGCTTGATGCTCGGCATCTGTTTGGAATTGATGTATTAATACCTTGGATTCTGTATTTCCATGGTAGTTTCGCAAATCTCAGGAGTTACCTAGGACTCCCTGACTGTCATCCACAAGAACTACATTGAGGCGCATTCGACAACACTGATAAACACAAGTCACTACAGATAATCAGCGTCTCCTGGTTATGGTGCATCTTTCTTGCCTCTGTGCCAAAGACATCATCTCTCTTTTAGTACTCCTTCCATCCGTGTACATTCCTATGCCAGGCCGATCAATGTACCAATATTGCTCCATCATAGAGTGATCTTCACATGATAAGGCAAATGTCAAAAATCCATTTATTTTGAGTCTCAGGCAGCCGTCATAGTAAGTCATATCTAATATCAATCAGGTTGACATAACCAAGCATGATGGACCGGTTTAGAGCTGGCCAGTATTGAACGTACGCTTCGTTCATCCAGCATGAGGCAGCAGCCAAATCGGGGGCTAGCATATACTGGCGCTTGATGTCGCTGCACCCAGTCGAGATGTCTTTTGCGGATGACTTCAACCGACGCGCCCTCTAATGTAGGGTCCTCACTGACCAGGTAGATCAAGTCCTGCCCTTCTGGGGCGTAATCAGTAGGGCCAAAATGGAGCTTAGGGTGCAAAAATATCGCTGTAGACATAGCGATCAAGCTTTGCGAGTGCAGCGGCCGTCATCATCTGAGATGCTTGCATACGCGGTGCGGTAGATGAAATAATCCCAAGGCCAGCCTCAGTCGCGAAATGCCAGGCGTTCAAGGAATCACTGTACCCAACCCTTGCCTATCCACTGATGACGAAACCACGGCTTCTGCTCGAAGCGCTTTCGTCTTTGCCATCTGTCCTCTTCTGGAGGAAAGTCGGTGGATTGCCAGGGATCTGACCAAGATTTGTGATGGAACAGACTGCCGTTGCTGTTAGGAGGCTCAGGCCTGGGCATGTTATGTTGTTCCCAGATATTCTTTCATTAGCGACTTGTACAGGAGAGAGCTGGTGTCATACAATCTGACCTGATTGAAGTCATGAGGTAAATTCTAGTAATCAGAACAAAAACGAAGGAAATTTTAATTCTCTCTTTCCAAGGGACTTCCAGAATTAATTGGCACAAAATATGGCAATGATCTGCTACCAAATGTTCTGTACAGCGAGTGTACTGTCAGGTCATTCATTCAGCACATGATTGCCCATCCTTTAACTGCCACGGACAGCAGAGGGTAACCACTTACCCCTCATCCAGCGTCATATTTTGTCCTCATCCGCTCTTCTTCTCTCAAATTTCCGCCCGTTGCCTCCCAGCATAGTGGGAACAAATAGGGTCTCATCCACTGGATGCACCGTTCACACACTACTGCCCGTCTAAGATACCTGACTTCGGCGACTTCTGCACCAACCCGTTTCTGGAAAGAAATAAATTCATGTGGCAAAGTACTTGCTCGGTGTCTGACCGTTCTGTGAACATTCGCCTCGAGGCCAGGAGACTCGGAGACTTATTTGGTAGGTTAATGGACGGTATGAACCTTGTTCATTGGAATTATCCTGGTTGCTGGGATTATTGTTGCCACCACATCGTGCAAGCAGAAGGCTAATTAACGGACATTAGCATACATTTGCTTCGAGTCGAGTACATGGAATGACGACAACGCAAGACAGTTGCCCAGTGTCTCCGAATTTGGGGGATGACAGGCAGCAAGTAGGAACAGAAGTACCCTTCCCTCCCCCTCATGTGCTTCCAAATCATCCAATTGGTCGTCAAACCCGCGTTTGGAAAAACTGAACGCGGCCGTTGCTACCTTCTGCATTCGAGTATTATGTTTGATCTCAGAAGCGTTTGCGTCTCAAGACTCAAGTGCTGATCTTCCAACCCTTCCCCAGATACCAAAGTCCCTGCGTCAACTTTCCCCATCCTACAACTTCCTTCGCTTTCCCGAGTAGCCTTCGGTTTCAGACGCATGCTTGCGCTTTTCGTCGTACCTGCAAGTAGGACACTCGATGTAGAAGGCATTTCGGGAAAAATACCCTAAGGTCTCATACGCGGCGTTGGCTCCAACGAAGGTGGTAGTGTCCCAGTTCAAGCATTCGTCACAAAATGCCCTCACGCATCGCCTGCAGCAAAACAAGAGGCGTCCAGCTTCTGGTGCGTTCTTGTGGCATTCCCAGCAGTAATGATGGGGGCAAATTGAAGATCCCAGACTTGGATGTTCTTCTTCAATCACGCTCTCAAGGCAACCAGCATGGAAAGCACGAGGGCATGTGTCACAGTCCTCCGCGTTGAACTGCTGACATAGGAAGCATGTCTGATATATATTAGCCGGTAGCGTTCCTTGCTTCTGATCGGTACTCACCATTTCATGAGTAATAGTGTTCGTAGGTGAGTCACAGTCCTCATTAGTAGACACCGGCTCCTCGACTGAGAGACTCAGGCTTTCCTTGCTCACTGCATAGCCGTCGATCATGACCGTCCTCTCCTTACCAATGCGACGATTGGAGCGGAGCAGATTGCTGCTCATGTCTTCAGCATATACTGAATGATGGCGTCCGCTTGTATCAATCGTCACCCCATTGAACAGGTTGGTCTTGACTCTGTCAGCCTTCTCAAGCCAGAGTTGCTCTTGTTCAACAGTGAGGCTTCCGGAAAGTCCTTCGTCCCTTTGGGTACTTGCACACTTGTTCAGAATAGTGCTCATGTCCCACTGGGCCATCTCGTCTGTATCAATTTGTTTCTGAGACAAGAAAGTCTGATCCAAGAAGACGGGTGAAGGCAAGCCAGATATATCCGTCGATTTCTGAGACATGCTCCCCTCTTCAGTCTTGATCATGTCAAGGTAATCATCCCTGGGGCAGTGAGTGTGTATGTTGTCGATCACTCTATCTGCGATATAGGCCTTCTTGACTAGCCGACGGCTCATCTGCTCTTCGACTGTGCCTGTGGAACGGAGCTTATAAATTACTACCGGCCGGGTTTGTCCAATTCGATGGACTCGTGCTTCGGCCTGTCGCATCACTTGAGGGTTCCAATCCTCATCCAAAAATACAATCACAGAGGAGCTGGTCAAATTTAACCCTTCACCGCCAGCTCTGATCGAAACCAGGAAAACCTTGTATCTCGAATCGTTCTGAAAAAGGTGCACCATGACCTTGCGCCATGGCCCTGTGGTTCTCCCATCGAGCCGTGCGTACTCGAAGGCTCGGTTGCTGCCTTGGAGCATCATGAGCAGGTCCTCGCACAAGTTTAGAGCCTGATCAAAGTTCGAGAAAATGATGACCTTCGTCTCGCTTGCCAAGTAGTGTTGAATGAGCTTCTTCAGCACCAAAAACTTGCCTGATTGATTGATGATATGTTCTCCTAGTCTGTATGGATCGGGAATTGCGTCCGCGAAAAGATAAGGATGAATGGAGCACTGCTCAATGTCAGTCATGCTGCGAAATGAGAGAGGAAATTGCGAACTCACTTTTCTCAGCTCCATAAGAATGTTTCCTGTGACACGGTACTTTCCAGGCCCAAACGTGACTGAAGAATCCTCGGACGTTGAATCACCTGGCCCAGAACATGGTTTTTCGACTGATACTTGACCAGGCAAGGCTCCATCTCTTTGAAAGCGCGAGGTTCCAGAGGAATCCAAGGGCAACTGCCAGATTTCTGCACCTGTAAGGATCCTCAAATACAATGAACGCTGTATAGGCGATAAGGGCACCGAAAGCACAGTTTCCGTTTTGGGCGGAATATCCAATCCGACTCCCGGCGAATCCTTGGTTCTTCGGATCATGATCAGTCCTAGAAATCTTTTAACGCATTCGAGAAACGCAGGATCAAATTTCCCGTCGCTCACGGAGAAGGCTTCCTGGAAGAGCTTCTCGGTGACTGGCACAAAGATCTCGGGGTAAAGCCAATGGAATATTGACCATAGTTCACTCAAGTCATTTTGTATTGGCGTGCTAAGCAAGCGACCAGATTAGCAGCAATCGGATTATAGAAAGGGCTGCAACTTACCCAGAGAGCACGAGCTTCATCTCTGCTTTGATGCGGTTAAGGACCAATGCTCTCTTCGAACGACTGTTCTTAATCCTGTGGCCCTCGTCAAGGACGACGTATCGCCAAACGAAGACCCTTGAAAACCAGTTTATTTCTGAGATTAAAGTCTCATATGTTGTGAGCACAATGTCCACAACGTTTGTCAAGTTTTTGAAAATACTAGGCTTTTTCTGGGCAGATATCATCTTCTTCACGGCGTCTCGTTGCTCGAATGTGCCATGGTACTTCACAGCTCGAAGGCCGGGGGTCCACTTCTCAATTTCTGTTAACCATGTTTCTAGGACACTTAGTGGACACACGACGAGAAAGGGCGCATTGCTGTTTGAATATCCACCGTCTCGTTCCTTCAAATGTTGGAAGAGGCTCAACGTCTGAAGCGTCTTGCCTAGACCCATCTCGTCGGCAAGGATACCACCGACGCCGTTGCGGCACAGGTATACCAGGAAAGACAGACCCTCAAGCTGATAGGGCTTTAACTCTGCTCTAAGACTGTACTAACGTCAGTCATGAAGGCGGGAGTTGCTACAGTCAACTTACCCTCTCGGCTGAGTACCAAGTCTTCCATATGGGAGTACGTTGACAAGTGCGTAAACGTTTGAAATGGTCAACTTGTTCATATTTGCGTCACCAACCAGAGGGCGTATGGTGTCCATGTGTGAGAGTAAAAAGGTGGTTCGCCTTGCTCGGATCTCCTGAGGAATGTCCTGTATCCGCCGTGATGCGGACGTGCTAATCTGGGTTTCTGCAGACAAGTTGACGCCGGGGACTTGGGACTGGCCATAGCGCTCCGTATTTCTCAGGCTCTCTCGATCTTACGAAGCACGTATTGCACAGTTAGTCGTCGGAGCAAACATTGAACTGGTACACAGGTCTCACCGGCATCCTCTGTCAACATGCCCTCCGACCCTTCGGAATGAATGGGAGATGAGGGTGGCGAGATACTCCATGATCGAGGCGTGCTCAATGCGGAAGACAAGGACCCCGACTCTGAGATTGGACTTGTATATGGCTCTTGAGAGACCTTGTCGTCCATGTTGAATTGCATCTTCGTATGCGAGGAGGAAGATCAAGTGTAGATGACGGGGTTTTGAATCGGAGTACGTCGAAGAAATGAAGAAAGCCATGAGGGAGAAGACCGGCGGAGGGCTTTCAAAAGAAAATGAGTATAGAGAAGAATTATGCTTCACTGTTTGCGTTCTGAAACGAAGGTGAGCAATGATCATACTGAGTGTTACTCTGGAGGAGCAAAAAAGATTGTCGTTCTTAGGGCATGCCTCACTTGCAGCTACTGATTTCGGCTGGCTAGTGAATCAGAGTATGAAAATCTGGGGTAGTGTTCTGTGGGGAACTGATCTGAAACAGACGCTTTGTAGTTGCTCAGTGAAGCCCTAGGTTTTCAGAGAACAGATACCACCAAGGGGCCTGAGAATTTTGAGGCTACCTTCAATGTGTTGATCAAAATGAAGCTTGTGTAGCTTGACTTTCGTTTAAGGCTTGGAAGCCTAGACTCTTCTGTACCATTGCATGCTATTCAGTCTTCCTGCTTTGTTGCTCAGGGATAGTGTTGTATGCATAGAACTTCATGTATCCTCCATGGAGTAATAATTCTAAACCATGCATGTCAGTACCCTTGTAGATAAAGTCCTCAGCGTATCTTTCTCAGTGATATAAGAAGGGTTGGAACGCGCATAGAACATATCTTCATGTCTCAGCTATCACTTAGTATCGTGAACATTCCCCTCATGAATTCACAGAAAGAACGTAATTACACCTTAATCCTCCGACTCAACTGCTCCGTCCCTGCCGACTTTTCAAAGTCAATCTCCGCCAAGTTGGTCCTCCTCCCCAATGCGCGACGGATAATCCAATCCTTGCTCTTGACCTCTTCCTCGACATCCCCTGGTTCCAACTCAGGAATCCGATCCGACCCTTCCAACCGCTTAAGGATAACATCATCCTCCGGCCGCGAGAAGTAGACGAGACTGTACCGGGTACAATCAGCCTGCTGGCCCGGTGGCGCCGCCACGCGGTGGATGTTCGAGCGGAACAGCCCATTCGTGAACTTGACCATTGCGTCTCCCAGGTTGACGATCGCATATCCCGGGAGAGGCCGCACGTAGACCCATTGCGCGTCTGCCCCGGGCGGGAGAACCTGCAGGCCGCCGAGCCGGTTGAAGAGGATCGTGATGCTGCCGAAGTCGGTGTGTTCGCCTAGCGCGGTGCGTCTGTCGTCGGCGGGCTGGGGTGGTGCTTTGATGAAGCGGACTTGGTCGCCGCTGACGGCGTTCAGACGGTGGAGATCTGTTAGAGTTGATGGCGGGAGGCCTAGGCTGTCGGTCAGGAGGGTGAGGATCAGCGTGACGACTGAGTGGGAGGCGCGGATGAATGATTCGAGGATTGAACGAGCTTGGTGGAGGATTTCTGGGGCTGGTAGGGGTGGTGTGACGCCTAGTATGTCGTTCTTCGAGACCTGAGTCGACTTGTGAGCTTCGACGAGGAAAGACGTTCATGTGTACTGGGATTACTGAGAACAGACATTGTAGAATTCGTTCCGGTCAAGGTTCCCTTGACGATCAACGACCGCTGCACCCTGCGCTTTATAGCCATAGTAGGAGTTCTGGCTGCTAAAGTCATATTGTAGTTTCTCCTCCAGACTGAGATTTAACAGATTCTCGCCTGTTTGGAACAGCTTGTCTGCATCATCGAGAATGCCACGGCCCTCTTCGGAGCCTTCCAGGTTGAGGTAGAAGAACCCAATATCTTCGCATGCTTGCATCAGCCTCTGGACCTCGTTCGCGTCACGCGCAAGCAGCTTCTGGAGAGATAAACGCAGTAGTGGAGCGGTTGGTATATCGCTTGGGAAAGGTGGCAACCCGGGGAAATCGTTCGTATCGACAACCATGTTGAAGCTGTACAAAACAAAGATAATTGCGATGCTTGTACTAAGCTTTTCTTGAGAGCGAATGTGATAATGAAGAATGACCTTCAATCTTTACGCCGGCACTCGAGTCAAGTGCTTTAAGCCCCCATGCGGGGAAGAGAGTTGCAACCGAGGGCCAACAGAGTGCGGAGCGCACCACAGCTCGGATTGACAATTGTGATTGTGATTGAGCTTGAGATCTTGCCTTTTTCAAAGGCTGGAAGATCAGTCTAACCATCTTCCCCGAAAGATAATATAGGACTCAGCCATTGATTTGCGCGCAGTCCATCTCCCGCTGTGGCATCCCATGCACTTGTCATCGAAAATATTGGAAAGTCCTCCTTTGACGAGGATTGATCTTCACTGCATAGCTCAAATTGCCTGAGAACCTTTTATTAGGAGCAAAATTGATTGTGTCTGAATCTGGAGAGTCCACTCGAGATGGGTGTTGATGAGAAATACGTGAATAAATATATATGCCGCCATTAAGCAAATCTTCATGCAATCCACATTTATGCGCTGTCATGAGACCTGACGAGTCCAATATTAACTGATTGATTCAACAAAATCCGGGGTTGGAAGGTCTGCTGGGGGTGTGTGTGTGTGTGTGTATATTTTACGGCCGTGGCTCGTGACTTGCACGTTTTCCACTATCCCTGATCAGGGCAAAGGCCGCCAGGGGGTGAGCCCTGGGTGTCTCTAACTATTGCTAGTTCTATG